GCGGGGGCTGGGCCGGGCCGGCGGAGGGCGGTGGGGGGCCGTCCACGAAAACATCGTCGAAGGATGTCTGCTCCAGAGAGCGGTCTGAGTTTGAGCAGCTGTCACATCTGCTGGGGAGGCTAAGTGGAGAGAGGCAGGCGGCTGTGACCCGCACGGCCGTCCCTGGCCGCCGTGGCCACTGATGGTGCGGCCCTGTGGGAAGAGAGCCACCCCCAGAGCCATGCTGGCCTCGCCGCCCACGCCCCACACCCAGCTTGTGGGTGTTTGCACCCCGTCGTGAGGCGCGCCCGAAAATGCAAGGTGACACATGAAAGCCGCAGGCTGGCCGCCTGGCTGTGGTGCTCAGCCCCACTTGTCTGTTCACAACCGTTGAGCCGCATCTGCCCGCCTGGGTGTCGCAGGAGGAAAGGTGGGGACAGACACACCCACAGGCACCCTGAGCGACGGGCGGCCCAGGGCGAGAGGCCCCACTGAAGGCATACCTGGCACGGTGCGGTCTTCCAGTCTCACAGTTGGACAGAACCAGATAATCAGGAAGGAAGAGAAACTCTGACTCACTTCTGGTTTCCTCAGTGGCTACGGTACCAGTGCTCGTGTCCTCTCTAGGCGAGGCGGGGCCGACAGCCTGGCCGGCGTGAACGGAGCTGGCCGGGGATGGCTGCCGGGAGGAGGGTGTGCGAGAGAGGCTCTCCACGGACTCTGCTGGAGAAATCATTTCCCACGTTAACATTTAAGAATGGCTGCAGCAGTCACTCACGACTCCTCACACAGCCTCGAATAAGCCAGAGGGAAGATGCAAATCACAGCTGGTGTTTGTACCGAGGAGCCCGTTTCCCTGAGCTATAAACAATGTCTGGAAAAGGAGGGCGATGTTCCAAGAGCGAAGCGTTGAATCAATTAGGAGGGAAAACACAGCAGTGTTCTTGGCCTAGAGCTCCGTCATGGCCCTGGGCCACAACCTGCACCGCTGCCTGCAGTTCACGCATGCGCACATGTGCTCATCCACGCGGCTGGGCCGCCAAGCCGCCCTGAAGGGGAGGACTGAGGAGGGAGTGGCGGGGCAGGAGGGCTGTGGGAAGACCCCATTTCTCGAGAAGCACACCCCCGTCTTGTTGCCAGACAATGGGGCCCTCAGGATGAGTGTGCATCAGGAGCAAGGCCTCCAGAGCAGCACCTCCCAGCAAAGGCCTTTCCTCCCACCGTGAAGCCAGCTGGCAGCATAGGACCCAAATCTCAGCGGCCCGGAGCCCACCTGCGTTCAAGCTCTCGCTGCTGGAACTGCGGGCAGTTTGCCTGCCTTCCTAGGGAAGCGGGGGGCCACGGGAGCAGGCGGCCCCTTGGGCAAAATCTCAGAGGGGTGACAGGAAGAGAAGAGGCCAACTTCACAGCAGACCATTCCATGGGCTGCCTGTGACCTCACTCATGCTGTCCTTGTGCAGCGTGGCAAGCACGTGCTCTCTCCTTCGGCACAAATCCTGGGTGACGCTAGTGTCCTCTGCTCTGCCCTGTGGCACCGAGTCACGGTGCCCGCATGCCCACCTGAGTATCTATGAGTCTAAGGGGCTCATGAAATCAGAATCTCATCTCAGGCCGTGAGGGCTGGACCATCAGGTCGGGGGCTCAGTCCATGGGTGACAGGAATCCTCAAAGCAAGTGTTCTGACCAGAAGGGCGGCGTGTCTTAGAGAAATTGAGATCTCTGCAGCCATGCCCCGGTCAGGAGCTGTGAGGAAGTATTTTATGGGTGTCATACGTCTCATTGTCTGTGCACCACAGTACCGGCGTGGTACCCGCAGACGGCACGCGGGAGGGTAGGCCCCGCCGCAGCGCTCACCTGCCCCGGCCTCGGAGGGGCCCAGGTTGCACACCTGGGTGATGCTCCGCAGCCAGCGCTGCATCTCATCCTCGGTCTTGGCCACCAGGTAGAAGGTGCGGGCCGCCGTCTGGACGACAAACACGAAGTGATTCTGGAACTCCTTGCGCACGGGGCCGGGCCCCGCATGCCGCCACACGGCACACTCCCGCAGGTCGATGGCGCGGATGGGCTTGCTGGCGCGCTGGCTGCGGTAGTACTCGAGCACGTCGGGGTCCCCGCACATGCGGCCACGTCGCAGCACGAACCAGCGCCGGCGCCAGGCCTGCGGGGAGGCGAGGTCAGCCCAGGCCACGCAGCACAGTCCGCGTCACCCGCCCAGGAGCCTTGGGGCAGAGGCCGCTGGCAGCCGCAGCCCCATCTCCGCCCTGCCTGTGGGCCTCTGTGTGCATTTCCTGTGTGCCCAGGGCCTCGAGCCACCCTGAGGCACTCCCGCAGAGAGAACTGCCCTGACCACTTTCTGCGGAAGGGGGGTGGGGGGCTGGAGGTTCAGAGAAATTTAGTCATGAGCTCACAGGGCGCAAGAACACAGAAAGGCATCAGCGCCCTACACATCCTCCTGTCCAAGGCCCTAAACTGCCCAGCTACAGGCCGCCGCAGCGGTGCAGGCTGGGAGGACACAGAGCGTCCAGCCCAGCCTGGAGCCAGCGCTCCCTGCGGCGGGTGGCAGCTAGTGCCCCAGGTCAGCACTGCTGCTGAGGGGCACCGTGTGACCGCAGGAAGCGGGGTCCTGCCAGGACGCATGGTGACCACCGGCACAGGAGTGTGTCTAGCTTCATCGCTGACACAGTGACAGGCCCACCAGCTGGCCGGGGGCTGCAGCCGCTGCCTGAGAGCAGGAAAGCCGCGGGCACAGCAGCGCGGCAGGGGATCCCGTCATAGGAAACGCCTTTGGAGACGAGGGGCGGAGCTGGGCCTGGCAGGGAGCCAGAGGCTCACGGCTCACGTGTGTGCAGACTGAATGGCAGCGGGTGTGAGCTCCCCGGGCCACCAGCCACACCCAACCCAGGACAGGGCTCCAGGGACTGGGAGAATGTCCCGTGTCCCAACTTTCATCGGGTGTCTGGGGACCCCAAACTTTCCCAAAGCCACTTTGGAAGGGAAACGTGAAGAGGAACTTGCTGTACTTCCCAAAAACTGCTCTGACGGAGGAAGTTGAGTCGAGCACAGAAACCAGTTCAAGTGCACTCTCCAGTTTCATGGAAACTGTGTTGTCCAGTGCTGGGCAGGGTCACCGGTGACGGCACACGTGGTCTGGGCCCCAGGGCGAGCAGCCCTGGGGAGACCAGAGGAGAGGGCCCCGCGAGATGGGCCTGAGCACAGGCAGAGGGAAGGGCAGGCCACGCAAGCCGCTAGCGAGCCCGCCAGTCTTCACAGCCTCCACTCGAGCGTGGTGACACGAGCTCGCGAGGGGTGACATGTGGCGAGGCCCCCAAGGCACCGGTGCTGGGGCTGGACAGTGTTGCGCCCGGAGTAACAGGGCTCAAAGTATGAGGGATGCCAAATTATTCCTGCAGCATTGAGCCGTGACTGTTGGAGCCACGAGTGGCCGTGGGGGGGCTGGCTCCCACTTCCTGTCCTGCCACAGCCAGAAAGCTGACTCATCCTGCCCAGCCCACACTGTCACCCCAGCAGCAAACCCTGCGGCATCCTGTCATCTGTGTGCACTCAGTTCTAGAATCAGAGGCCTGCTGTGTTTCCGGAGTTGTTGGGGGGATAACAGAACCCCATCCTCCCGAGAGGAACAATCTGGGCTGTGCCTAGCACTGGCCCTGCCCCGTGCACACAGCCAAGCTGGGAACTGGGCGCCAGAGACACGCTGGTGCTTCGTGTACCTGTGCAACGCGTGACCACAGGCAGCATGACATACGTGGCGCACGTCAGCAGAAGCATGCACACCACTGGGCGCACACCTCCGGCCTCCGTTCCCTGAGTATTCGAGGGCAGTTTACAAAAGCAGCTGTTGCTTGTACCGAACAGCACTTTCACCTCTGGCCACAAGCCCCCCCCCCACGACAGGATTGGGGCTGCCACACTGGCTGCGCCCGCTCACCACGTCCCCAATCCAGGCACCTCCCTGCCACTTGCCGACCTTGGGCATCTCCTCATCTGCTTGAGGTCCTGTGTGCCACTGTCTGGGCTTAGTGTCTGCGCTGAGGAGCTGGGCACAGACGGCGCCCCGTAGCTGAATGAGTGACTCGCACACACCCCAAGGCTTGCATGCTCCTGCTAGGAAACACGGCCACTGTGTGCGCTCATGCTGCCTGGACCCCAGCGTTTCCACAGGCGGCGCAGCGTGACGGCAGGACCCTCCGCAGTGAGAAGCCTGCTGCAGCCACCGAGACCAGCAAGCATGTGCCTTGGTGAGGTCCGGGGCCAGGGGGTCGTTTCCTGGGCCTGTGCCGGGCCGGGTCAGCAAGCCACAGCCGCGGGTGCTTGACCACCGTGCTCGGGGCAGCTGCCCCTCAGCCATGACCTCCCCCGTCCCCGCTCTGTGGGTGTACGGGCCCCGCCTCTGCGGCGGTAGTGGAACTAGTGGGGAGCTTCTGGCCAAATGCAGGAGCCACAGGAACACCTACCTGTGGGTCTCCACTGTCCCTGGGACGGCAGCTCGTGGCCTGGGTGCCGCCACCTGGACTGTGTTTACTTGCAGCTTCCAGAGACTGCAAGTTGCTAAATAAGTTCATAAAAGGGAGCCGGTCAGGAAAGAAGTGAGACGGTTGGGAAAGGAAACCTCGAAACGGGGCAAGGAGACGGCTGCATTTCAGCCCCAAGTTGCCACCAATCCGTGTAGCAGAAACGACCTGCGAGGCCTTGTGGGCAGAGCAGGGCAGGGCAGCGCAGCTGCAAGTCTATTGATTGGCAGTCATCTTTCGAAGTGCTTGAGCAAGGCAGGTCATTTTCCAGAAAAAGCAGCGGGGTCTCGTGCTCTCCTTTCCACGTCGGAACCACTGTCTAATTGCCTCAGACACGCCCGTGGCTTCCGGGATGGGGGTGACGGGGTTAGCACCTCAGCTGAGCGTCTCTCTCGGAGCCGCGACACGGCCTTGGCCCTGGCGTCCTCGCGTGGAGGGAAGCTCGCCACACAGCCGGACCGCTGTCTTCCCAGCGTGGGAGCTCAACGACGGCATTTGCGAATGATGGCAATTTCTGTCGCTTCCCTCCTGAAAACGCTCAGGAAGTTGGGGTACAGCTCTGCGTTGCAAAAGGTGCACCCTGCCGAGGGAACCAATTTCTGCTTCAGTCTCTTTTCTGCTGCGCTTGCCTCGAGAGGCTTCCACTTCCTTGCCCACAAGGCCCGGGACCAAGGGCAGCAGGCCGGGCCTTTCCGGGAGCGGGTCATCCTCTCTGCCCGGCTCGGGCCGCACACTGGGGTCGCCGGTGACCCTGCAGCCTGATGGCCTGGAACCTCCTGCTGCAGCCAGATAGAGCTGGACTTGGCCCAGGCCTGGAGGAACTTCCCGCGATTGTCCGAGAGGGCCCGCCCACAGGATCCGCTCGCAGGCTTGTCAACACACACAGAGCAGCCAGCAGCCCCACGCGCGGGGCCTGGGGCGCAGGGCTGCGGGGCAGGGTGTTCGGCAGAGATAAGTGTGCCACGTGACGCGGCCCTGCCCTTCCTGGGCGGCGTCAACCTCAGTTCCACTGTCTGGGCTGCTTTCCTCTCCGTTTCTGTGAGGTGTGGAGGGCCGCCACGCGCTGCAGAATGCGGGCTAGAACCATGTGCCCACGCCGACTCAGGAATAAGCAGTTGTCCCGAATCCTGGTGACTGCTCTCTCATGGCACACTGGCATGGAAACACCAAGAGGCACTGGAGTCTGGGGAAGGTTTGGGAAGGCCCAATATGAAGTGATGACAACAGACCTGGGCTCACCACACCCAAATGACTGACACTGAGCCTGTGCCCGCCCACGGAGGCTCGACCGTCTGCAGAGCAAAACTGAGGGAGACGAGAGTCAGGGCTAAAAGTCCCAGAGAACAACAGGACCGTCTCAGGGAGGGACCCGCTCTTCCAGGAAGTACAAGAAGTCGGAAAACCTGGTGTCGAGTGAGTGGACAGGATATGGACGTTTAGCCCTGAGTGAAATCTTGCCAGCGGGCCCTGGCTCTGGGGATGCGGTAGGGAGCCGAGGAATCCGAGAGCCCGGCCTCTAGCTTGCACCCAGGGGTGTCCATGCGGCCCAAGAGGGCAGGAAGGTGGGAGGGAGAAAGGGAGGCCGGGGCAAGGAGGGGTGCCCTGCACACTCACCCGGGGCGCTCGCTTGCGTGTCCTCTGGGTTCGTTCCCAGCGCGGCTGCAGGCACACATCTCCCGGGGCAGGACCTGGGCCTCCTCACGGCGCACGCCATGCACCGCAGCACCAGGCGACCCTGCTCTCACCCCTCCTGGCCATGGAGCACCCTCACTGCGCCTGCCCCCCGCAGCCCCTTCACTGTCCCCGGAGCCCACTGGGGAGAGGTGCCTTAACCAGCGTCCCCTCCTGCGCGTGTCTGACTTTCCCTGTCACTTCGGGTCTGTTCTTCCCCCTTCTGTGGACACGACTCTACCAGCTCAGAAACTTCTGTGCGAGCTACACGCAGGTGGCTAAGTCTGGACTTGCCCGGAGCCTTGCGAGGGAGGCGGGATGTTCTTTCTTGTGTGCCGTGCTGCGAGACCTCTCTGCAATGGCGGGGAAGCATCATCCCGGTGACAGCCAAAACCCTTCACCCCGCAGCCCAGTTTGCGCAGACAGGCCGGCAGACACTTGCTAAGATGAAGGAAATGTTCTTCCCACGTTGCCCCAAACTTCTCTTCACCCTCACGGCTTCCCCAACGCCGCAGCAGATCACCATCCCATGACAGTGTCTTCGAGGAAATACAGTTATCGTTTATGGTTAGCACAACAGGCCTGGGGCCTCTGCTGAGGTGCATCGGGGCCAGTGTGCAGGGACAGGCCAGAGATGGCAGGTGTAAGGCTCGCTGAGGAGAGCATCTCCCGGGGGCGGCCACGTGACACTGTTTCTGCCATATTACAGTTCTCGTTTGGTGTGAAAATTCAGGTGGGGTTAGGTCACCCTCAAACTGAAGTGTGATTTGTAGTGACAGCGTCCTCGCGGCCAGAGACCCCAAACCACTGATTCCTTGTCAGCGCTGACAGCCGCAACCTAAGAGGCTTGCTTCTAGTGAAGTAGGAACTGCTGGCGATGAACCAAACCACCACCGAAAGGCCCGTTTGGCAGCCTCGCCCTCGGGCGGCAACTGCGTGCGGCCGTCGGGGCGGGCCAGGCCCACTTCCCACGTGCGAAGAAGCCGAGTAGGCGAGTGGCACAAGCGGGTCCGGGAACGGAGACACGAGCAGCCCGACCAACACCCACCCCTGGAGGGAGCTGGAGGGGAGGAAGAGGAGGACAGAGGAAGGAGGCGGTGGGGCCGGGCCCACTGCCAAGCGGGGGAGGTCGGCGCCCACACTGCACAGGTCAGCAGGACGGCCGCAGACGTCGGTGTTGCTCACTCCAGGCCCTTGGGAGGTGACAGGGACCCAGAGGGAGAGGCGAGGGAGGGAGGACAGTGAACAGAGGAGGCGGCTGGAAGGCAGGAAGCTGACTGTGATCCCTGTTTCCATGCCAGCGTTGGGGGGGCGACCACTGAGACAGCAGGCCAGGGCTTCCCAGCATGCTCTTGGCCAGCAGCACAGGCCCCACTCTAGCTGGCAAACACATCGGTACATTGTCTTTGAATCTTTTTTTAATATTTACTTGTATGCTTTATGCACACAAGAACTGGGATGCAGGCCAGAGGTGGGGGCCCGTGAGAGGATTCCCCAGACACAGAGCGGGGAGCAGAATAAGCAGAACGACTGAACCTCACTGCTGAGGGGGCAGTGGGGGGCTGTAATAAACGTCTTTCATGTTTATTACATGAAGATGGTTGTCACAGAAATTCTAAAGATGGACTCACAAAATGTCACCACAAATACACATGGTAAGTAACCCCATGAACAAAGCAGTGACAGTCATCAAAATGCATGAAGAGCTGGCATGAAACATTGTCGATGGCCTGGTAGGGGAAATGGGCAAAAGAGATGAGTTAGCATGTCCCAGGTGAAGCCACAGTGGCCCCGAGCCACAGATGCAGAAATTTCTAGTTAACGACACAGCGCCCCTGGCCCACCACACTGGCCAAAGTGTCTCCCAGATGAGCGCGACGGAGTAGGTGCAAGGTCACAAAAAGGCGACTAAATGGCCCGCACACACAGCACGGCGCAGCCCCCACCCCGCCTGCTCAAGGCCGGGCGTGCCAGGCCTCGTCTTTGCTGTGACCCCTGATCTCACTTCCAGGTCTCAGTGACTCCTGTGCGGCCGCCGCAGCGCGTCGGGTCTCCCCGAACCCATTTTTCTGCCGAGTGACTCCAACGGTCCTTGTCCATCCTGCACCAAGGGGAAAGCAGGGCCCTGCTGTGGAGGCTTCGAAGCACGCACGCACGGCACAGGGCTGGCCGGAGGCGGCTGCGGTACCTTCTGGCACATGGCTGTGTCTTTGTCCGCCAGGCTGGGGACCACATTCTTGGGGACCGGATGTTACAAATGAGCAAACTTTGCTGTAAGTGCCGCCGCCATGTTGCCCCAGAAGGAGGAGGGGGCCTCATTACCGAGCGCCCTGCTGGCTTTTTCCAGGTCAGCATAGAACAGCCCCGGCACCAGCCCCTGAGGTTGGGGGGCTTCCAGAAAAAGGCCCCCCACACTGTGAAGCCAAGTTCTTAGCCCAAAGCAGGTAGCAAGGTTAGCTTTCCATGAGGACAGAGAGGTTCTGCCATCTGCTGCTGCCCGACCCCTGAGGACCCAAGGAAGGCTCTGCAGGCCTGAGCGCCCTGATGCCCTGACAGCCAGAAGGAACAAGGAGGAGGTCGGCTTCTCACCACAAGTACTTCTGAGCTGTGGTTTGGGTGTTTTTTCCTGGCTGCTTAACCTCAAAACAGACTCTCCAGGCCTCTCCACGTCTCTCAGCCACCTCGCCTGAGAAGCCCCTGTTCGGCCGATGCAGCCTGAGTTTGCAGCTCCCCGACATGCACACGGCGGCCCTCAAGTCCCCATCTCAGAACTACAGACTCGGGGAAGGAGAAAGTGAGGAGGTCGGGAGTGAAAACGGAGAGCAAGCTGATCGCCTGAGCTGCGTCAACGGGTAAGTGAGCGTGACTGCAGCACGCAGCCTCGGGATGAGGGGCAAATGCCTTCGGAGGCTGAAATGCATGGAAACGTCCCCAGAGCGTTTCTGTAAAACTGTACGTAAATGAATTTGAGCGCCACTGTGAAAAGGCTACTTTTCCAGGAAAAAGTATAATTTAGTGAAACTGACTCAGAGGCAGATAGACTAAACAGATGCATTTCCATAGAAGAAACAGAAAGCTGGCGAAGATCTAAACAAGCAGAAAGCAAGCGATGTCCTTCAGAGGGGGCTGCCCAGTGTCATTCCAAGTCCGCGGCAGGCCTCAAGCTTGTACCTGGAGGACGTCTATGACGCCGCTGCCCAGTGTCCATCCGGGGCTGGCTCCTGAACCGCCAGGGCGGTTTATTGGTTTTGCTTGAAATTTATCTGTGCACGCAGAACTGGGGCGCAGGCCAGAGGTGCAAGGGTG